CCGGAAGGGGAGGTCGCATCGTCCCCCCCTTTATCTTGCGAGAGAGGGAGGGCTTTGCCCTTATCCTTTTGCGAGCGACCAGGGGTGACCGGCGGACCCCGGGTCTTTGACACCACGGCCCTCTTCTTGGGCCTATTTCTCTGTTCCGACGGAGGACCGAGGCGGATTACGGGGGTGCGAATCTCCCCGGAGGAGGAAGAGGAAGACTCAGAGGACATTGGGTAGAGGGAAAGGGAAGAAACACGAGAAAGAAAAAATAAAGAGAACTGAAGAAGCACGAAAATCGGGGTGGAGAAATGTTTACCTGGATAAAAGGGAAGAGGGGGGAGCAATTTCCGACGCCGGAGAGGAAGAGAGAAATGAAGAGGGGCTGAAAGAGGAGGAATAACGTAAAGAAGACGGGGAGGGGAACTCCTTTTTATAGTCGTAAGGTGAGGTGGCACTTGAAGAGGCGTGCGGTACTCGAAGAGGCGCGAGTGACCTGAAAAGGCGCATGCGCTGCATAGATTGTGAGAGGACAGCGCAGGCGGCGTTTCGATTTCCAAAAAAAAAAAAAAAAAAAAAAAATTATTAACTGAACTAATAAAGCCAGTCATTTAATTACTCGGAATGTGTGCGGGTTTTTCTGCTGCGGAATATGAAACGAGGCACGTTATTCGAAACGGTGCAAATAATTACAATAGGAAGCGGGCCGCCGTCATGGAGCACACGCCTTCTCTCGTTAAGAGCGAACTCGCAGCTACTAGCGCCAGGTCGCAAATAACCGCGAGTGGGGGACTAGTTGATCCAGCCCGGGATTACTTGATCGATCCAATAAAGACCAAAGGCCCAAACTAGATCAAAAGGCACCACTCAAGCCCATTAAGAGAAGGCCCATCAGACTGGTACCGGTTGGGCGAGAGGGACCCGGCCGCGGCACGCGAGTAGCTCGCGTGCGAAAGGCTTCTCGCCAGGCTGCACCCCTCTCGCCCAATCTCTCGCCAGACCGCCAATCTCTCGCCAGACCGCCAATATCTCGCCAGGCTGCACAGCTCTCGCCGGACTACTCGCCCCCGACCAGAGGTGATCATTGCTACACATGGGGCTATTTAATGCACGTCCAATCTACTGACAAAGGGCAGAGGAATGTCTCTTCGACCCCTGCTTTTTGCCTCTGCAGCCGCCAATGAAGTGACGGATTAAACCGCATTGAAGGTAATTTGAGGTCCGGATACTTAATTACCGCGATGGGACAGGTGAATTAAAATGAAGAATATTTGACGTCCGTCCCCTTTTTTCTAGTATAAATAGGGGCAACAAATGCAGTAAAAAGACACACAATAAAACATACTTGAATTACGCATATAAACTAGTATCTTCTTCAGAAATTTACTGACTTGGCCGTCGGAGTGCTAACTCCGGCCTAAGTCCGGTTCTTTTCTTTCTTTGTAGGTTTGCTGCGGTCCCCCGGTCTAAATCCAGGCCCATTCTACTCTTTAAACCAACCCACCACGAATCCGGAAGGATCAAATATCTACGCGTCGAACAAGTAATACAGTGGACTAAAAATAAGAAGAAAAAAAATCAAATCGTTTTATTACTTAGTTATTGAAGATACAAGAAGTCCCACAAAATAAAAGAAAACTATAATTCAAAGGATGATGAGTGGGAGGTTACTAGTTTTTAGCTGTACAACAATTTAATCATCATGAAATTCCTTTGACATATATAATATATATATATATATATATATATATATATATATATATATATATATATATATATATATATATATATATATATATAATATATAATATATATATATATATATATATATATATATATATATATATATAT